TTAACCTCATCCTTCATAAATCCATCCGCCGACACGTCAACTCCCAAGTATCTGAAAACATTCACTTCTTCCATACTCCTCCTCCCCAATTTGATATCCAATTTTTCTTTATCTAAATCATTTGACACCCTCATCACCTTACTTTTTTCTATGTTCACTTTCAACTTTCTACCTTTACACACATTCCCAAACTCATCCACTAACCTTTGCAATTTTTCTTTAGAATCTCCCATAAGCACAGTATCATCAGCAAAAAGTAACTGTGTCAATTCCCATTTTGAATTTGATTCCCATAATTTAATCCCACCCCTCTCCCAAACACCCTAGCATTTACTTCCTTTACAACCCCATCTATAAATATATTAAACAACCATGGTGACATTACACATCCCTGTCTAAGACCTACTTTTACCGGGAAGTAGTCTCCCTCTCTTCTACACACCCTAACCTGAGCCTCACTATCCTCATAAAAACTCTTTACAGCATTTAATAACTTACCACCTATTCCATATACTTGCAACATCTGCCACATTGCTCCTCTATCCACTCTATCATATGCCTTTTCTAAATCCATAAATGCAATAAAAACTTCCCTATCTTTATCTAAATACTGTTCACATATATGCTTCAATGTAAACACCTGATCTACACATCCCCTACCCACTCTAAAACCTCCTTGCTCATCCGCAATCCTACATTCTGTCTTACCTCTAATTCTTTCAATTATAACCCTACCGTACACTTTTCCTGGTATACTCAGTAAGCTTATTCCTCTATAATTTTTACAGTCTCTTTTGTCCCCTTTCCCTTTATATAAAGGGACTATACATGCTCTCTGCCAATCCCTAGGTACCTTCCCCTCTTTCATACATTTATTAAACAAAAGTACCAACCACTCCAACACTATATCCCCCCCTGCTTTTAACATTTCTGTCATGATCCCATCAGTTCCAGCTGCTTTACCCCCTTTCATTTTACGTAATGCCTCACGTACCTCCCCCACACTTACATTCTGCTCTTCTTCACTCCTAAAAGATGGTATACCTCCCTGACCAGTGCATGAAATTACTGCCTCTGTTTCTTCCTTAACATTTAAAAGTTCCTCAAAATATTCTCGCCATCTACCCAATACCTCCATCTCCCCATCTACTAACTCCCCTACTCTGTTTTTAACTGACAAATCCATATTTTCCCTAGCTTTCTTAACTTGGTTTAACTCACTCCAAAATTTTTTCTTATTTTCATTAAATTTCTTGACAGTGCCTCTCCACTCTATCATCTGCTCTCCTTTTGCACTCTCTCACCACTCTCTTTACCTTTCTTTTACTCTCCATATACTCTGCTCTTCTTATAACACTTCTGCTTTGTAAAAACCTCTCATAAGCTACCTTTTTCTCTTTTATCACACCCTTTACTTCATCATTCCACCAATCACTCCTCTTTCCTCCTGCCCCACCCTCCTATAACCACAAACTTCTGCCCCACATTCTAATTACTGCATTTTTAAAACTATTCCAACCCTCTTCAACCCCCCCACTACTCATCTTTGCACTAGCCCACCTTTCTGCCAATAGTCGCTTATATCTCACCCGAACTTCCTCCTCCCTTAGTTTATACACTTTCACCTCCCTCTTACTTGTTGTTGCCACCTTCCTCTTTTCCCATCTACCTCTTACTCTAACTGTAGCTACAACTAAATAATGATCCGATATATCAGTTGCCCCTCTATAAACATGTACATCCCGGAGCCTACCCATCAACCTTTTATCCACCAATACATAATCTAATAAACTACTTTCATTACGTGCTACATCATACCTTGTATATTTATTTATCCTCTTTTTCATAAAATATGTATTACTTATTACCAAATTTCTTTCTACACATAGCTCAATTAAAGGCTCCCCATTTACATTTACCCCTGGCACCCCAAATTTACCTACTACTCCCTCCATAACATTTTTACCCACTTTAGCATTAAAATCCCCAACCACCATTACTCTCACACTTGATTCAAAAACTCCCCACGCATTCACTCAACATTTCCCAAAATCTCTCTCTCTCTCTACACTTCTCTCTTCTCCAGGTGCATACACGCTTTATTATAACCCACTTTTCACATCCAATCTTTATTTTACTCCACATAATCCTTGAATTAATACATTTATAGTCCCTCTTTTCCTGCCATAGCTTATCCTTCAACATTATTGCTACTCCTTCTTTAGCTCTAACTCTATTTGAAACCCCTGACCTAATCCCATTTATTCCTCTCCACTGAAACTCTCCCCCCCCTTCAGCTTTGTTTCACTTAAAGCCAGGACATCCAGCTTCTTCTCATTCATAACATCCACAATCATCTCTTTCTTATCATCTGCACAACATCCACGCACATTCAGACTTCCCACTTTGACAATTTTCTTCTTCTTATTCTTTTTAGTAATCTTTACAGGAAAAGGGGTTACTAGCCCATTGTTCCCGGCATTTTAGTTGACTTTTACAACACGCATGGCTTACGGAGGAAAGATTCTTATTCCACTTCCCCATGGATATAAAAGGAAAATTAATAAGACCAAGAACTATTAAGATAAAATCAAAGAAAACTCAGATGAGTGTGTATAAATAAATGTGTACATGTATGTGTAGTGTGACCTAAGTGTACATACTTATATGTACTAATTAAGAATAAGTATCACTAAAAAAAAAAAATCACTAAAAAGTATACATAATACATTATATTCCAAGAGTAGTGTAGGAGCTTATCCCCTTAATTGTGCCAAATATATTAACTGTCAAAGATAACCACCTAGACACCTTTATAAGTAAAGATCTCAACTTATATTTCGGTTAGTTTATATTCATCCAGTTGTAATCTGAAGAGAAGTTGCAGAGGTTGGTGGATGAATTTGGTAGGGTATGTAAAAGAAGAAAATTAAAAGTGAATACAGGAATAAGGTGATGAGGATAACAAAAAGATTAGGTGACGAAAGATTGGATATCAGATTGGAGGGAGAGAGTATGGAGGAGGTGAATGTATTCAGATATTTAGGAGTGGACTTGTCAGCAGATGGGTCTATGAAGGATGAAGTGAATCAAAGAATTGATGAGGGAAAAAGGGTGAGCGGTGCACTTGGGAGTCTGTGGAGACAAAGAGCTTTGTCCATGGAAGCAGAGAGGGGAATGTATGTGAATATATTTATACCAACACTCCTATATGGGTGTGAAGCATGGGTGATGAATGTTGCAATGAGGAGAAGGCTGAAGGCAGTGGAGATGTCATGTCTGAGGGCAATGGGTGGTGTTAATATAATGCAGAGAATTCATAGCATAGAAATTAAGAGAAGGTGCGGGATTACCAAAACTATTATCCAGAGGGCTGAGGAGGGGTTGTTGAGGTGGTTCAGACATACAGAGAGAATGGAACAAAACAGAATGACTTCGAGAGTGTAAAAATCTGTAGTGGAGGGAAGGCAGGGTAGAGGTCAGCCTAGGAAATGTTGGAGGTAGGGGGTAAAGGAGGTTTTGTGTGCGAGGGGTTTGGACTTCCAGCAAGCATGCATGAGCGTATTTGATGGGAGTGAATAGAGGCAAATGGTTTTTAACCATTTCAGGGTTGAGAGGCCCTCTCCTAAACTCGTTCTTGGGGTCAAAAATTTTTCAGAAAAAAAAAAAAAATTTCTTATGAAAAGACAGAGAAACTTTTCCCCATCATAATGACACCAAAAGTATGAAATTTGATGGAAAACTTACAGAATTATGCTCTCGCGAAGTTAACACTCTCGACAATGTTTACACATCGGCGATTTCGCCCACTTTGAGCTGGCCCTATTTTCAGCCAATTCCAGTGTACTATTCAACAAAAATCATAACTATTTCGCTAGAACTCCATTTTTTTCTATCAAATGAGTACAAGAAACCACCCATTTACCGATTTCTACTATCCAATAAAGTGGTCAGAAATTAGCAATTTTGCCAATTTCACACAAATTTCAAAAGATGCCAATTTCCAAATAGGATCCAGAATAAACAAGACAGACATTCCTGGCACTAAAATAACATTTCCTCTGTTCATTAGTCACGTCCCCAGGCCCCTCTTACATTTCTTTTGCTTTCCACTTTGAATTTTTATTCTCACAAAAAATAGATTTAATGTTATGCAGACTACTGCATTAGTGTAGAAATGGTATAAATAATATCAGCACACTTATGAAAGAATATCAGACTTACTAGTTGACATGCATTGGACATGTGGCATGATTTGTTTACTTTTGAACTTTGGCAAAAATCAAACATTTCTGCTACTTCAAGCTCAATTTCAAGGTACTTTTCATTTTGAAACCAATCAAAATCATCTCAATTTCTGTAATGTGTTTTCCATTCTATAAAATGAGACCAGGAAAACTAGAATAGAACCATAAATACCATACGAAAATACAGTGCAAAGTCGGTGTTTTAAAGCAAAAACACGGTCAAAGTTTTTTTCTCATTACGCACCATGTGCTGTAGGATTTTTTTTATACTGTGCACAATGACCACATAGACCCATTCTTTCATATGTAGGCCCACCAGCTTTCTCTTGCTAGATTTGAAGGCGCTAGAATTTACTCGTACTAGTACGTCAATAACCCTGGTGCGTAAGCCGTACATCGGAAACCCTGAAAGGGTTAATACTTGACGTGCTGTTGGAGTGTGAACAAAGTAACACTTACGAAGGGATTCAGGGAAACCGGCAGGCCGGACTTGAGTCCTGGAGATGGGAAATACAGTGTCTGCACTCTGAAGGAGGGGTGTTAATGTTGCAGTTTTATAACTGTAGTTTAAAGCACCCCTCTGGCAAGACAGTGATGGAGTGATTGATGATGAAAGTTTTTCTTTTTCAGACCACCCTGCCTTGGTGGGAATCAGCAGATTTGTTAATAAAAAAACAAATATTATTATTATTATTATTATTATTATTATTATTATTATTATTATTACTATCTAAGAAGTACATCACTACTAACCTATTGCCACATGAATGTTCTTCACTGTAATCCAGACAAAATTCAATAGCAAAATGAAGAGCCAGCACACCATCTGCTTTCATTACATTGACATCAGCCCCATGTTCCAGCAGCTTGTTCACTGCATCCTTCCAATTGCTCTGTACAGCCAGCATAAGTGCTGTGGTACCATCTTGCATTCTACAAAGATAATGTTATTAAATTATTGTACAGTATCCAAAATGTATTTCTGCTACACATCACTTATTCAGTCAAAAAATTACAATATCCATTTATGATACTGCCTCCCACAGCCAATGTGAATCAGATGCCATTTATATTCTGGTACAATCTAAGAGTCTCAGGCAATGTCAATCATAAAAAGTGAACAACATTTTGCAATCTGAAGTAAATGAGATATTACTGAACATGAAGCTTGAATACAGATCTGCTTGGATTTAGAGGCAAATACCAGCATGACTGAGGGGTGACATTCCCTATAGGTTCCCCAGACCCCCGAAAGGAGATGGGTTTACCTGGAGTTTACCTGGAGAGGGTTTCAGGGGTCAATGCCCCCATGGCCCAGTCTGAGACCAGGCCTCATAGTGGATCAGGGTCTGATCAACCAAGCTTGTTTGTGATTATCACATCTCTTTGTGATTGTATTTTAAGATTTTTAAGTCTTTCATTGTGCTAAACTGTTTTTTTTTCTTTTAGAGCTGGAGCCACTTATTTTCACTTTCTATCTTGTCTACACATTTTATAAGCACATACACCACATCACTACATATTCCAAATCCTGGTCAAATAGATTTTTCAGTATTTCCCATTTACATAACTTAAGGTTATACGAGTGTCCAAAATTTCACTTGCAAGATCTCCCAGCAACATCTTTTGTCAATGATTACATCTTGACCCATCTCTCTTTGCTTGATGATTTTAAAATTTTATCATGCAGACTAACATACAGTTCTCATGTAGCCTCTTAGTGCTTTCTTCTATGCCACATTACATGACAATTAGCCAATATTCTAATTAAAAGAAAGAAATGAATATGAATTATCTATATTGGATAAAGTGTCTGTATCAAAGAAGTAACCTGCAACTCAATGGTCAAGCACTCAGTTCAGAACCAGAGAGACCCAGGTTCAATTCCTAAGCAGGGAGAGATGCATGGGCTAGTCTTCTTACATCTGCTTCCCTTGTTAGTCTAGCAGTAAATGAGTACCTGGCTAGTATCTTAAGGGGTGGTAGTAGTATACCAGTGAGCTGGCAAGGCTTTGAAATGAACCAAGATAGGGTAAAAGCTCTTAGCCTATGTATAAAGTGAGTAGTGGTGAAAGACATAAAATACAATCAATGGGACATGGCTACTAGAAATTTTTCTGTCCTGGAACCTTGGTCACATCTGGAGTGACTAAGGTCCTAGGATTGACACGTTTCCAACAAACATGCCTAGTGATTGCATTGTGTCTTTGCCCACTACACAGATACTATACCTTTATATCCAATGTATTATATAAAACAACCATTATACAATGAAAGGAATGAAAAGGAAAGCATACAAAGTGCAGGAGAGATCTTGAGCTAATAAGTAAACTAACAGTTACACATACTACATAAGCTAATACTAAAATATTAACGGCAAGTTAAAAGCAGCAGGCATTCGAGATGCAAAAAATGGTGACCAAACAGAAGAATTTAGTGTAACAAAATTTTAGAATTAAGCAAATGGGGATACTATATAGAATTGCTCCATTCTTTGCACATATGTACAGAGTTACTAATATTGCACACAATCTCTTGGGAACAAAAAGGCATGATACTGTGACTGGAACAATACACAAATAACCTGCACATTAAGAGAGAAGCTGCTACTACTACTACTTCCACTACCAACTTTACCAATACCTCTACTTCCTTTTTTTTTCCTCTTGGTCCTGTCCTTGTCCCTCCCGCCTATATACGTATATGCTGTAGTACCCCGAGTTTCGTACAGCTCCCAACTCGAACAATTATGTAAGTGTATTATTGTAAGTGCATTTGTAAGTGTATTTTTGGGGGTCTGAATCTAATTTATGTTATTCCTTATGGGGACAAATTCGTTTGGTAACAGCACTTGAACAGCCTTCTGGAACGAATTATGGCCGAAACTCTGAGTGCCACTGTATTAGCTCCTTCTCTCTTTTATATTAGTGTGACTTTGTAAATGGTCCAAGTCAGACCAAAACGTTATCATAAGCTCCTCTCTCACTTATGTGCAGGTTATCTGCCTATAATCTTTTGGGATTCAGATCTTCCATGTAATTCCAAAAATTATAAATGAAATAAATTACCTTGCATTGACATCACAACCTCTTTTCAATAGCAGCTCAAGAACTGGAAAAGTATTACAATCTTTGTACTGGCGATATGTGAGTACATGTAGAGCTGTTCGTTCAGACTCATCAAACCTGTTGATCTCGGCACCATTTTCTAGAAGCAACTGCACGATCTCCAATAAGCCCTGAGTAATGAGCAAGTTATAAATGATCTTTGAATAATGAGTTAGTTATTATTTCTTTATACTTTATATGCACATATCATCAACTAATATTCATGAATCATTTTCCCATAAATATGAAGGCGAGGTATGTAGAGTGGCGAGACATTTGTGGAGAGAGCTATTAACCCATAAACGGTCCAAACGTATATATACGTTCACTACCCCAGTGCCCCGAATCCTTCAATCTTTCAACAAACCGGCCATATCCCACCTAGGCAGGGTGGCCCAAAAGGAAAAACGAAAGTTTCTCCTTTTACATTTAGTGATACATACAGGAGAAGAGGCTACTAGCCCCTTGCTCCCGGCATTTTAGTCGCCTCTTACAACACACATGGCTTACGGAGGAAGAATTCTGTTCCACTTCCCCATGGAGGTAAGAGGAAATAAATAAGAACTAGAAAGAAAATAGAAGAAAACCCAGATGGATGTGTATATATATGTTTGTACATGTATGTGTAGTGTGACCTAAGTGTAAGTAGAAGTAGCAAGACATACCTGAAATCTTGCATGTTTATGAGACAGAAAAAAGGACACCAGCAATCCTACCATCATGTAAAACAATTACAGGCTTTCGTTTTACACTCACTTGGCAGGATGGTAGTACCTCCCTGGGTGGTTACTGTCTACCAGCCTACTACCTAGAAGTGCCCCGAATATTTTGAAAAATAAACATTTTTTTTATTATTGAAAAAAAAAGAGCACATTTTTCTAAGTGTTATAGGATAAAAAAAAAATTTTAGGGACAGTACTTACCGAGATATGAGGCTGAGAACTTGGCACTGGATGCTCATGTGACAGCAACATCGAGTCCTGCTGCTTGCAGAAGTGTTGCCAATATACCTTTTTTTTCTATTTTTCAATTCTCTTATATAATTTTTATGTTCTGATAATTACAATTTATAGTAGTTCTTGTCATTTCATAACCAATCTTAGTTCTAACACTAGTATTAGGTACTGAAATTGTACTCACATTGTCACAAACACACTGACAGGTGGACATTTGCACCTGCCTTGGTCATTTACTATTGTGTTGGAATATATACAAAGTATTTATAGGTGTTGCAAATAAGAAATTTTATAAAGAACTTCAGAATGTGGTCTGTTACTATTTTCTTATGCAACAAGATTTAGGATCAGCATTTGTTAAAGGTATTTTAGAGTCTAGGGGAAATAATTTCAACTGGGAAACTTTATAGAATAATATTCAAATTTATTAAAGTATTTAAATACAATACTTTATCTTTTCTCTGTACCTAATATTATCTTAATACTTTGTACAATAAATTTACAATATACATATTTAGTTCAAAATCATCGAAGTATCACATTAATAAGGAAGATTAATTTTTCTTCCTGTAATTAAGTCTTCACTAATATTTCCGTCTTTGTCTTAACAAAACTGTGTAAACTCAAACTACAAAATGTACGAGATTCAACAAGACCTTTGAATCCAGCCGTAAAGTAAGTAGAAAGCAAGAGTTTGTCTGAGAAGACTTATCTCTATGGATTACTGAACTGACCAAGAATATAATATCAAAACAATCTTCAGAGCAATGAAGAACAAACTGAGTCAGCTCTAGAGTCTAATTCTCAAACCCATTCAAACTGTACACCCTAAGAGAGAACCAATATACGATCAGTTGTCAAGGCAAGAGCAGGGAGCGGACTGACTACCTGCCAGTCTGTTGACGCGTCGTCAGGTTGGATCACCTGACCCAAACGTCAGTCAGCTGGACATAAACAACTGAACAATTCACCGGATGGTTCCGAGACTTAAGCTCTATATACATAAGAAATCCTACCTAACAATAATAAAATAATAGTGATGATAATAATAATAATAAAATAGGGACAATACCATGGTATTTTTTATATATTTTAACAGATAATAATATAACGCCGAAAGTCTCTATTCTAGCTATAAACGGGGACTTTCACACTATAATATTAAGTGATGATCATATTCTCTTAAAATAGTTAAATAACACAGAATGACCAATTTCCAAGATATAACACCCCCCTCCCGTACGACAATAGGTCGCAGTAGGGAGTTTGCAAGCGTTCTCGGTAATATCTTCTTTATAGTAAGCGTCCTCTTGGTAAATAAGGCATGTAGGACAACGGAAGAATGAAGATGAAAGAACTCGATCAGCATGGTTATTTGCCAGAGGATGAGCTTCTGGAACAATGGCCGGAAGAACTATCTGGAGTGGCATCCATCACAATTCGAGAATAGGAGTCTCAGACATATGACTGTCAGGGCCATCCATGTGGACTTAATACTTCGTCCCCTCAACGAAACGGTTTTCATAATCATACTGTCAATATAAAAGAAAATCATTAACAAAAAAATATATAATATATATAAATCAGGCTCTAAGAGTACTCATCTCCTAACTTTACATTTTAAGGTATCTTTTTTTTTTCAGGGGCGAGAAAGGGCATCAGCAATTATGTTAAGAGTTCCACTTAAGTGTTGAATACTAATCAAATAAGGTTGGATCCTCAGAGCCCACCTGAGGATCCGGGTGTCCTTTGATTTCATAGAATTAATATAAATTAAAGGATTGTGATCAGAAAATACCATAATTTTATGGGAGGAGGTTCCCAGATAAACGTCAAAATGTTCCAAAGATATTACTAGGGCAAGAGCTTCTTTCTCTAGTGGCATAATTCTTTTGGTGACGTTTCAACTTTGAAGAAAAATAAGATATAGGATGCAAAATATCAGTAGAGGGGGATTTCTGAAGTAACACCGCCCCCACAGCATAACCGCTGGCATCAATATGTAAATAGAAGGGTTGATTAAAGTCAGGACTTTTCAATACGGGTGACGAAGAAAGCAACCGCTTCAACCGATTAAAAGCTATCTCAAAATCTTTCGACCAGCAAAACTTCATCTTACTACCGGTCAACTTAATAAGAGGAGATGCAACCTGAGAAAAATTAGGACAGAAATGTCGATAATAACCAGTCATTCCAAGGAACCTCTGTACAGACTTTCTATCTTGAGGGATAGGAAACTCGGCAACAGCCCTAACTTTTACATCAACAGGACGTACCTCGCCCTGGCCTATACAAAAACCGGGGTACTTAATCTTGGCTTGTCCAAACTGACACTTGGCTAAATTTATGGTGAAGTTGTACTTTTCTAACTTCTTAAATAAGGTTTCCAGGCGAATTAAGTGTTGCTCCCACTCATTGCTATATATTACAAGATCATCTAGATATGCATCCACTCCTAAATCATTGGTCAGCAGGTTCATCAGGCGCTGAAAGGTAGAGGCCGCGTTACACAACCCGATGGGCATAACGCGATAATTGAATAATCCGCCTTGTATAGTAAATGTGGATATTTCTTGGGCTCGCTGGGTAAGCGGCACTTGGTAATAGCCCCTTAATAAATCCAGGCGGGTAACATAGGCGGCTCCTGATACTCTATTAGATCATCAATACGGGGTAGTGGGAAAGCATCCGGTACCACGAGAGCATTAACTTTACGATAATCAGTGCACATTCTAGAAGTTCCATCAGGCTTGGGAACTAATATACAGGGTGAGGCCCACGGACTTTTACTCCGCTCTATGAGTCCATGGGACAACAAAAATTCTACTTCTCTGTTTAATGCTTCTTGTTTGAGTGGACTTGCCCTATAAGGTGACTGTTTGCAAGGCTTAGCTCCTTGTACATCTATGTCGTGAATTCCCAGTGTGTAACACCTAGGGACATCATCGAATAAAACCTCAAAACGTAATATCAAGTCTTTGATATCTTTTGCTTTTTCCAAATCAAGGTCCATAAGAAAGGTATCAAGAGACTGCAATGTGTCTGAATTTTTTAAACGTACTTCTATGGCTTTAGAGATGCTGGGCAGACGTACATTTTCATTTCAGCTAAAGAAAGAACTGTCATAATTGGTACAAGACTAGGGTGGTAAGCCTCAAGTTGGTTAATGTAATAAGTACGTTTTGCTTTTCTCTTTCCTGGAGTTCGTAGTACATAATTTACCTCATTGAGCCACTCAATCACTTCCAAAGGACCTTCGTATCTAGGTTGCAGAGCGTGTCCCGGTAAAAATTTCTGTGCCATCACCTTGTCACCTGGTTTAAAGAAGCGAGAGCATGTGTGTTTGTCATAACAATGCTTCATCTTGGATTGGGCCTTAGCTAAGTTTTTTGAGGCTAATTCCCTCAGTTGTGACAAACGCTTTTGCATTAGAGTTGGAGTTGTTTTAAACAAGGGTTCTGATTTTCCGGTCCATGAATCTTTCAGTACAGCAAGGGGGCCGCGTACTTGGTGTCCGTAAATTAATTCAAATGGACTAAACCCAGTCAGTCAGCCGGACATAAACAATTGAACAATTCACCGGATGGTTCCGAGACTTAAGCTCTATATACATAAGAAATCCTACCTAACAATAATAAAATAATAGTGATAATAATAATAATAAAATAGGGAAAATACCATGGTATTTTTTATATATTTTAACAGATAATAATATAACGCCCAAAGTCTCTATTCTAGCTATAAACGGGGACTTTCGCGCTATAATATTAACCCTTTGACTGTCGCGGCCGTATACATACGTCTTACGAGGTACAGTGTTTGACGTATATATACTCATAAATTCTAGCGGCTTCAAATCAAGAAGGAGAAAGCTGGTAGGCCCACATGTGAGAGAATGGGTCTGTGTGGTCAGTGTGCACCATATAAAAAAAATCCTGCAGCACGCAGTGCATAATGAGAAAAAAAAAAACTCCGACCGTTTTTTTTAATTAAAATGCCGACTTTGTGGTCTATTTTCATATAGTATTTATGATTGAATTCTCGTTTTCTTGGTCTCATTTGATAGAATGGAAAACATATTATAGAAATAGAGGTGATTTTGATTGATTTTACTATAAAAAGAACCTAGAAATGGAGCTCAAAGTAGGGGAAATGTTTGATTTTTGCCAATGTTCAAAAGTAAACAAATGATGCCATTGTCCAATAAATGTCCAACTAGCCATTCTAATATGCAGTAATGAATGGGTTGATGTTATTTATACAATTATTACAGTATTGCAGTAGTCTGCATAATAGTAAGTCTTCTATTTTTTGTTTGAATAAAAATTCAAAATAGAAAGCAAGAGTAATATCAGAGGGGCCTGGAGACATGACTGATGAGCAAAGAAAATGTTATTTTAGAGCCAGGAATGTCTGCATTGTTCATTCTGGACCTTATTTTGAAATTGTCATATTTTTTAGCTTTCGTGAAATTGGCCAAATTGCAAATTTCTGACCACATTATTAGGTAGTTGAAATCGGTAAATGGGCAGTTTCTTGTACTCAATCGATAGAAAAAATGGAGTTCTAAAGAAATAGTTATGAGTTTGGGCGACTGGAACAATGGAATTAGCCGAAAATAGGGCTCAAAGTGGGCGAAATCGCCGATTTGTAAACAGCGCCGAGGTCACTAACTTCGCGAGAGCATAATTCCGTCAGTTTTCCATCAAATTTCGTTTTTTTGGTGTCATTACAATCGGGAAAAGATTCTCTATCATTTCATAAGAAAAAATAATTTTTTTTTTTTTAAATTTTGCGACACCAGGAGACACCTCAGGATTGGGGGTTGCGACAGTCAAAGGGTTAAGTGATGATCATATTCTCTTATAATAGTTAAATAACACAGGATGACCAATTTCCAAGATATAACAATAGGTCCCAGCAATGTTTTGGATATGTAGAAGATGATGATGATGATGATGACGATGAGGGGAGGGAGGAGGAGGAGAAGAATACATAATAATAATAAAATAATAAGTTCCCTTGAAGCATGAAAAACAAAGTCCACCCCTGACAGTGACATGATAAGATGAGATAACATTCGATAAGAGTTGATGTTTGATGAGTATTCGCGAGGGCGCAGTGATAAGACTTGATAAGAAAAGATTAGGGCCTGCTTTGTTTTTGGTGGTACACAAACTTGTCTGTCTATTTTTCTGTCTGTCAAGCTCCCTGTTTATCTGTCATTCCGTCTAGCTCTCTGTCTCAGAGAGAGTCACAAGACTGGGTCGTCATCACGTTTACTCACATCTTCAAGCAGAGTATAGCACTTTGTCTGAATTTTTTGAGTTATCCTAGGTAATTTACACTATGTATACTTGTATTTGTGTGTACCTGTTAGACAGAGAGAGACAGACAGATAGAAAGATATAGAGAGACAGAGACAGGGATAGACAGAGACAGACAAAGATAGAGATAGACAGATACAAACAGACAAACGGAGATAGAACCAGGCTGCCAGCAGCCGGCCAGCCAGCTAGCCAGCCAATCAGCCAGTCAGTAAGCCAGCCAGGCAGCCAGCCAGCCAGCCAGAATTCTCTTTACTTAGGGCATAGGTTATAAGACATTCTGAAAGGGTGTTGCACAAATATTGCAAGAGTTATTATCGAGGTTTTTTGATATTTCCTCGACCACTTGTGGCCACATGTACCTCAAAGCCACTAAACTCAGGGTCAAAGTCACTTTCCTCTTAATATGGGAGTGTTAATACTACATGACATCAGTGAATCCCAGGTGTTTGCTGTGCTGTTTGCTCTAGTGGGCGCTCATTTGAACTGGTGCTCCCACAAGGTACTAAGTGGTCCCAGATTTTTTTAATACCACTCACACTGAGTGTTAGGACCCATTCTATGCTGACAAGGCATCTCAGACCAATCGTGCCATATTTGAAGGCAGGAAAAATAAAACGTATACAGTGGAGCCTCTACTTACGAGTTTAATCCGTTCCAAGACCTTGCTCGCAACTGGATTTGCTCGTTTGCAGAGTCAATTTTCTTCATTTAAACTAACTGAAATGCAATTAATTCGTTCCAGTGGAATTTTGTACTTCAATAATTTCGCTAATATCAACTCTACGGCTTATTTATCTATTTCACTACATCTAATATGACAAACAATATAAATAACACAGAAACCTGATATATACTCTAAAATGAATAAAATGTACAGTAGACCGTCATTTAGCACGAGTTTGACTGACTGACTTACTGAACGACTTGACTGAGTTTGACTGACTGGCTTACTGAACGACTTGACTGACTTACTGAATCACTTTACTGACTTACTGAATGATTTGACTGACTTACTGTATCACTTTACTGACTTATTGAATCACTTGACTGACTTACTGAATGACTTGATTGAAGGACTTAAAGTTAAACACTCCAGTACAACCATCAACTTCAGTACCAGAACCTCCACCATCCACCTCAGCCCAGTAGGACCACAACATAACTCTCCACTCTCTTCACAATCATCCACAAACACCAGCACCCATAATTTAAGGTAAGAAATACTATTATTTCTGTTACATTTGTTTACTCTGAAACATAGCCAAGAAATGGGCCATTTCTCCTACGTTGAGCTGAATTTCAAAGTACTTTTCATCGGGAAAGCAATCAAAATCATATCCATTTCTGTAATATATCTTCCATTCTATCAAATGAGATAAAAAAACAAGAATACAACCATAAAAACCATACGAAAATACCGCTAAGGGGTGGCTAATTGCTGAGAAGTGAACTCCGTTATTTATGCTTAGATTTCTTTCATTTTTGGTGTACATTAAGAAGCATCTTTCCATCATACATTGCCCAAGTTTCAATAAGATAGTCCAACAAACAAATGAGATACAATTCCCGAGAGCAAGAACCCCTCACCAGTGTCAAGGAACCTGCCTTGAGGTCTGTTCGCTTATGGAAATTTTGCTCGTATATGGAAGCAAAAAATCGACCCATCGACTGCTCGTATTTAGAAAAACTCGCACGTGGACACGCTCGCAAGTAGATTCCACTGTATATACGTTTGGGGCACTAGCGGTAAAAACGTATATGTGTATATGTTTGGACCATTTATGGGTTAATGGAGGTAAAAGGGGGAAATGTACCAATGGATAGGGATTCCAATACTTTTATATAGCTGTGAGGCATGGTTTTTAAACTTTGCACCAAGGATAAGGTTGAAGGCAAACTAGAGGTCATGTTTGAGATCATTGTGTGCTGTAAATATTATGCAGAGAATAAGGAGCTTAGAAATAATAAAAAAGGTTAAGAGTATGAAAGGTAAAATTCAGAGATAAGGGGGTTGAGATACTTTGGTTAAATGAAAGAATGGAACAAGGGCAGGAGTCATCCTAGGAGGAGATGGAGGAAGAGCATAAAGGTTTTGAGTAGTAAGGGCTTGAGCATTCAGAAGGCATGTATGATATGTAACATCGAAGTGGAGGAAAGTCGCTTTTGGGATTCAACATTCTATTACTGTACGAGCAGGGTAACATTTTCTATTGAATTCAAGGAAACTAGTTAGCTGGATTCAAGTCCTAGAGGTGGGAAGTATTTATCCTGCACTCTGAAGGATGGATCAAGATGCTGCAGTTCAGAGGTTCATTTGAATTGTGATGCCTGTACTCTTCTGGCAAGATAGCTATTGAATGAATAATGGTAAATGCATCTCCTTCATTATGTTACCTTACATTCATAGAAGACAGCTGATGTCATAATAAAATAAAGTTGGAATTTGCATTTTAATTCCATAAAAAAGTATAAGTGAAAATTTTGTAGACAAGTGAACCAAACTATTCAGAGTACTGTATGTATAAGATAAAACAACAGCACAATACAAAGGAATTACAAACCTTTGCAGCAGCAACATGAAACGGCATCCCAGACTCATAGTCTTCCCGATTTGGATCAGCACCAGCATCCAGCAAATACCTGACAGTTTCCAAATTCTTGTTTGCCACAGCTGAAGTATACAAGTAATACAATGAAAATAAAGTGCAAAAATATGAAGTATTTCTCAAAAGGACCCATTATGTTCTTTTCACTATATACCTCTCATAAGTAAAGTATACAACTATAAACTAATATTAACATGAATAAAATACAATACAGGTTTCCCTTGCCTTATGAAGTGAAGTTTTGCTTTATGTGAATTTGCTATTATGCCATCACCCCACTTTTACAAGTAACTCATCATATGTAGCATAAATTTGCCCAGAACACCTTGATATTTTAATCTACCTAAATATCACTCTAAACAAGTTTAGCTTGACATTTATAAGAAAAAAAAAGAAAATAGATTTGAGCATGGGAAATCCATATCTTTGAACAAAATCCTACAGATTCTTTCCAGTTTAAGTGTTTTGCACCATTCCAAAAGAAAGTGGAAATTTGGTTGGACAAAGCTATTCTACACTGACACCAAGCTGGGACTCGGGGCTGTGGGAGGGAGGGAGGGAGGGAGGAAAGAATAGCAGGGAGACAAGTATTCATAATGTGAGAGCTTTAATAAAGACAAACACAAGTTGGTTGGTTGGTAGATGGTGGGAGAGAGGAAGGGTTAAAGGGCAGAGAATTATGACAAACACAAATAACCCGCACATAAAAGAAAGAAGCTTACGACGACGTTTCGGTCCGACTTGGACCACTTACAAAGTCACACTAACCAGAAGTGGAGCAGGACGGCTATATATAGGCAGGAAGAGGTGGTGGTAGTAGTAGTACAAGAATGGTATATAATACTGACAAGATGAAATTAAGACACATGCGCAACACCCAGGCATCCCTATCGTAGACGTGTGTTGTGCATGTGTCTTAATTTCATCTTGTCGGTATTATATACCATTCTTGTACTACTACTACCACCACCTCTTCCTGCCTATATATAGCTGTCCTGCTCCACTTCTGGTTAGTGTGACTTTGTAAATGGTCCAAGTCGGACCGAAACGTCGTCGTAAGCTTCTCTCTTTTATGTGCGGGTTATTTGTGTATCGTTCCAGTCACGGTATTGTGCCTTTTTTTGTTAATTATGACTGAATTTTGCATGTAGTTTAATTTTAAGCAATTGCATTTATTTTAGATCAACAGCCATTTGGTGCTTATCTGGTATGCTCATATTTTTATTGGTAAAGCAATGTGGAATTTTTCTTCAATTTTGTAATGTACACTACAGGGATTATGACCAAATTTTGGATTACATTTTGCTTTATGCACCATGAGCCAGGCATGCATCTATCACATACAGAGAACAACATTTATTCAAAACTGTAAAAAAAAATTTTCAAAACATGATAAAGTGCTACATCATATCAGACATATAGATATAATCACAATCAAGGAAATATAGATAATCTTTCCAATCGGACTGTTTGAAATCAAGCTTGCACATTCGTTATCTTGCTAACAAATGCTTTAGAAATCCTACCTTTAGGTAGTGGCAAAGCCCAATTATCACCACACATCATGTTTGGGTCAGCACCAGCACTAAGCAAAAGCTTCACCACTTCACTATGGCTCGACTGTGGTAAACAAGCCAACTGCAGAGCAGTTGTACTCTCATGTGTCAGAGCATCGACATCAACATCGTCTGAAAAAATCTGAATTCATTGTACAGTATTTTCTGTACTTTCATTTTTTTATTAATTTTTTCAGTCCTATATGTGTAACAAACAAGTCTGCTGCTTGTAGCTTTGTCATTCTAGTTCATAAGTAATGACAGGACAGGTAAACATAAATATGCTGACTCCTAGTTAGTTAACACTTAATGTTTTTAGTTGAAGATCTGGTCTGAAGAAGCAGAACTGTGAAGACTATAATAAATAAGATAAAAAAAATTGCTGTGATATACTCTTTTATGTCAATGAAATATCACTGAAGAACAATAATAGTATAGTACAGTATAAGGAAAAAAGACTTCATAGATTTCAGGCCTCTTTACCTTAGCTAAATATCCACATAAGTGTGAGAAATGAATGCTTACCTGCCAACAATAAGAAGCGAACACACTCTACATGACCACCTGCTGCTGCCTCATGCAATGGACGCCATCCTCGGTTGTCATGTCCATTAGTCGGATGGCCAGTCTGCAGCAGCTCCTAAAAAATTAATATATTATCATTGCATTGCTTCACATCCAGGGCCATCAACCACAGATTTAGATATAGGGGAAAAATCCGGCTGGTCAAATGTGAAGACCAGTGAATCTGCCATCCACTTTCCTCTTAATTGTCCGAACTAAAGCCTCCCCAGTACTAAGTAGCCTAGTGCCCTCCTCACTCTCATTCTTGAGCAACTAATGGGAAACTGTACTGCAACACTCATTCAGATAACCAGTAGCAAATACATTCTTCAGCAAGTCACCACGACACAAGAGGAAGTCACAAACTGCAGAGGGCCAAAAGTCCTTATCACCACATTGTCCTTTGAATAAAAAAAAAAACATACCACGGGCGGGGTTAGAACCCGCGATCAGAGAGTCTCAAAACTCCAGACCATCACGTTAGCCACTGGGCCAGCTAGCCGTGGTATGGTTTGTTTGCAATCGTGTCATTACGATTTCATGAGTCATGTTGTCCTTTGAGATCTAGCAGAGGTTAAATCACATGAATTCCCCACACTGCACCTTTAGCCACTGCTTCACACCTATCAGCTTATAACCTGACCAGAGTCAGACTGTGACATGTGGGCACATGGCCCTCACTGAATTCCCACTTAATGGACTTTGAATGGTACAGAAAGGGACCAACCACTCACGACCAAGCCACTGAACTGGGTAACACTCAAATCAGCAAAGTTCTAGTCAACATGCACAACAAAATCATAACTGTAAAGTTCATCATGCCGTGAGGAAAGAACCCCTTCCAGCTCTGCTCAAATGAAAAATAACATGAGCATTCTTATCCACACTGCAAAAATAAACAGAGTATAGCACTGGGACGTCTAATGAGTCAATGTCAGAAATGGGAGCGATATCAGGGCCGGGGCCAGCAACAGTAACTTGGCTCTAGGTTGATGCCAACTTGCCATAAACCATGTTCTCCCAATGGGTTGTCAGAAATTGCTTTCACAGGGGGACTAGGGTAAGGGAAGTGTCATGACTGACATAAGGTTTTCTTCTGGACTACAATATTTTCCTGTTCTGTGATATGAAACAGAAAGAGTGCAGAGCAAAATGGGAAAAGACAGAGAGAAGAGACTACCAGACGATTATTAGAAAGAAGCCACTACTTCACCACTGTCCTCACACTCCATACCAATATGACAAACCCTTCTGACTCTCTCTCAGGAATCCCCTTTACTCTGTCCATGGCACAGCTTTAAGATAGTGCACTCAGAACTAACAAAGCAAGGATAAGCAAAACAACTTAATAGATAGAGTGCCAGAGACACAAGCAGCATTTGACTAGTAATAGACAAGGGCAAACAGGCAAAAATACAAAGAGTTGCACTCTTTCAGTCACTTCCTTGGAACCCAGGGTGACATCCAGGTAATACTTCTACCACCGGATGAACCACCTAATGTCACATGTGGTTCCTGAAAGTCCACTAGACAATCCAATCTCCTTTGGGCAGTGCTAACCACAAGATTTTGTTCAGATATTTAACCCCGGAGGGTCAGCCACTCAGGATAACCCAGGGACTGTGTCTTATTTCCATTGGGGTCTTCAATCCTGTCCCCCAGGATGCAACCCACACCAGTCAACTAACACCCAGGTACCTACTTGCTTATTAGGTGAATGAGGACAACAGGTGTATGGAAACGCCCAATGTTTCCACCCTTGCCGGGGTGATATACGTTCACATGCGTAGTGCTCCAAAAGTAGATCTACATTTTGTTACATTTTTCAAATATAACAAAAAAATGTAGATCAAAGTTTTTTTTACACGCTTTCAAATGTAAAAAAAAAAAAAAAAAAAAGAAGATCTACGCTTTTTTACATACTTTCAAATGTTGAAAAAACGTAGATCTACATTTGGACAGTTTAAGGGTTAATTTATTTAATAAAATAAACAACTGAAGAAACTGCCTCATGATATTCCTGGCCAAACAAACAGTATACAGCCCCATGACTTGTTAGGCTTATCAGTGGTTAGCATTCATTTATGTGACTTGCCAGGCCAAAGAAATACACAGATGAAATACACCCCAAGTATATCTCCTGAGTGTAATACTATACTGTTTGCATGAAATGACCTTTTAGGTGACCCGGTGGTCTGGTGGCTTAAGCTCCCGCTTCACACATGGAGGGCCCGGGTTCGATTCCCAGCGGGTGGAAATTCCGACACGTTTCCTTACACCTATTGTCCTGTTCACCTAGCAGCAAATAGGTACCTGGGTGTTAGTCGACTGGTGTGGGTCGCATCCTGGGGGACAAGATTAAGGACCCCAATGGAAATAAGTTAGACAGTCCTCGATGACGCCCTGACTTTCTTGGGTTATCCTGGGTGGCTAACCCTCCGGGGTTAAAAATCCGAACAAAATCTTATCTTATCTTATGTCATAACTGTCTAATCTGTAAAATGAGTCTGCATCAATACTACAAAGTAAATGTGAGTACCAATGTTGATTAATGTTTTAATGGGTTAGGTCTTGTTGGGGCTGGGGCTGGGGCTGGGGCTGGGGCTGGGTTTAGTTAGGTTAAGTTACATCAGGCTAAGTTGGCTGTAATATTTTAAAAGGCTTTTTATATGTTTATTCTTATAAAAATATATACAAAAACTGCATTTTTCCAATATACATAAAATTAAACTCTCTCCATTGCATAAACCAATCAATATTAGAGCCCTTAAACTTTTACACCAGATTTATACAGCAAATTGTGTTATAGCTGAAAAATACTTCTTAGTGGAAACCAGACATTATTTTATATTTTATGATAGGTATGGGCTGTCTACATCATGGATTAAAGCTATTTCCTGGGCACAGTTAAGAAAAATGGTGGACATAAAGATTGATGGCTGAGCAAGGTTAAGCTAAATTAAGTTATTTTATATGTGGGTTTCATTAAGTTTGGTTAGTGTCTTATCATTTGCACAAAATAATAGTCTCAAATGTACGGCCTACTTAGTACTGAACAATTTAAACTTGATATGTTCCTCAAGACCATGCATGTTGCAGAGGCAATGAAAATGCCAGGAGTAAGAGGCTAGCATTATTATTATTATAATCATAGCCAAGTGCTAAACCCACAAGGGAAGGGGCTAGTAACCAATTCTCCTGTATAAATTACTAAGTGTAAAAAGAAAAACTTTGCTTCTTTTTCAGGTCACACTGCCTCGGTGGGAGACGGCTGTTGTTTACCTGGAGTTTACCTGGAGAGAGTTTCGGGGGTCAATGCCCCCGCGGCCCGGTCTGTGACCAGGCCTCCTGGTGGATCAGCGCCTGATCAACCAGGCTGTTGCTGCTGGCTGCACGCAAACCAACGTACGAGCCACAGCACGGCTGATCAGGAACTGACTTTAGGTGCTTGTCCAGTGCCAGCTTGAAGACTGCCAGGGGTCTGTTGGTAATCCCCCTTATGTGTGCTGGGAGGCAGTTGAACAGTCTCGGGCCCCTGACACTTATTGTATGGTCTCTTAACGTGCTAGTGACACCCCTGCTTTTCATTGGGGGGATGGTGCATCGTCTGCCAAGTCTTTTGCTTTCGTAGTGAGTGATTTTCGTGTGCAAGTTCGGTACTAGTCCCTCTAGGATTTTCCAGGTGTATATAATCATGTATCTCTCCCTCCTGCGTTCCAGGGAATACAGGTGCTGACAAAAGAAAAATGTTCCTCAAGTGAGGTCCTGGTCAGCCTGGCTGTGGTTCTTACATTGTACAGCCTGCCATTAAGTACTAAACAAACATGGCTCAACCAGTGTCTCTGCTTTCTAAAGAACTTATTATTGGGGAGCCAGGTTGATGAGACCTTGACACACCAGGTCTGGTCAGGGGCCGGGCTGCTGGGGGCGTTGACCCCTGACATCATCATCGTCTCCGGGTATTTTCACGCTGAAATCCGCCGAGGTGCAACGTTTAATTACCATAAACTGTGTATAATATAACCTAGATTAATCCAATAAGTTCAAGAACTGCGACTTGTATCAACATCTTGTATCAACATCAGCATCTGCTAGAAAAATAACAGGATGGATAATGAGAACCTTCAAAACTAGGGAGGCCAAGCCCATGATGACACTCTTCAGGTCACTTGTTCTATCTAGGCTGGAATATTGCTGCACACTAACAGCACCTTTCAAGGCAGGTGAAATTGCCGACCTAGAAAATGTACAGAGAACCTTCACGGCGCGCATAACGGAGATAAAACACCTCAATTACTGGGAGCGCTTGAGGTTCCTGAACCTGTATTCCCTGGAACGCAGGAGGGAGAGATACATGATTATATACACCTGGAAAATCCTAGAGGGACTAGTACCAAACTTGCACACGAAAATCACTCACTACGAAAGCAAAAGACTTGGCAGATGATGCAACATCCCCCCAATGAAAAGCAGGGGTGTCACTAGCACGTTAAGAGACCATACAATAAGTGTCAGGGGCCCGAGACTGTTCAACTACCTCCCAGCATACATAAGGGGGATTACCAACAGACCCCTGGCAGTCTTCAAGCTGGCACTGGACAAGCACCTAAAGTCGGTTCCTGATCAGCCGGGCTGTGGCTCGTACGTTGGTTTGCATGCAGCCAACAGCAACAGCCTGGTTGATCAGGCTCTGATCCACCAGGAGGCCTGGTCACAGACCGGGCCGCGGGGGCGTTGACTCCTGGAACTCTCTCCAGGTAAACAAGGGTCGTATTATGTCATGGGGGAGCGCTAAACCCATAGCATTATACAGCGCATGGATGAGGGGTTATGGAAGGCATTCATGCTCACTTCAGAGAACTGGAGCACAGAACCAATTCCCTAGATCAAGAGCCCCTCACCAGCGTCAAGGAACCTCCCTTGAGGGAAACAGGTGGTCGTAGTCTCATAGTTTTCTTCACCTTAAGTAACTTAGCATCTCCAAGACGAGCAGCGAGGCCCACAGACGTGTTGGTGTCGTCATACGCCTCACTGAAATCCATTTTAAGTTAACCACGAGTACACTGTAAGTCACTGAGATCACCAGCGAGAACAACAGCGCTCGAAAGTAACAACAAATCTGTTTCTGAGTAACTGTTGGGTAGAAAGGTTATGACGACCCGGGGACCGTGTGAACCCTTCCTCCGGCTACAATCTCACACAGTACTGTGATGCACAAATAACTCGCATTTAGCAGATAAAAAAAAATTACGACGACGTTTCGGTTTCGTTACTCTGCAAATGGTTCACGTCGAACCGAAACGTCATCGTAAGCTTTTCGCTCTCCTAGTTTTATTATGTGACGTCTAGACTCTTAATTCTGCCAGTCCATAAAATGATCTTATTTCTCAATTCAAATTCAAATTCAAATTCAAAGTTTATTCTCTATAAGGATTACAATGCTGAGTTTACAGAAATTTGGTTATTGTTTGGTTTACATGTAGTAAAATTGTGATTACAGAGTGTACCACTAGAACGCTTAGCATGGCTAGGCATTTCGGGCATACTTAGTTTTATTCTTAATTGTAAAATATTACAAATTATGAGGTAAGTTGGTATTATGGCTAAGTGACTAAATACTAGTTTATGAGTTTAGCAATGTGAATGCTTTTGTTTTGGCACAGTATATAGTTTCAGTATTGGAGTATCACAGGATTCATTATTTTAAGACTGAGATTAATATTTCTGTTTATGGTCAAATGAGTGAGCGAGTGTAAGTGTGAACCACCAGGTGGTATTCGTGTAGTTAGTTGACGGGGTGTATCAGGGAGATAAGATGTTTTCTAATGGTAGTTTTGAAGGTGATGAATGTGTCTGCAGTTCTAGAGTTGTTAGGTAAGACACATATGCAACAGTTAGGTATCTTTATTTTGAAACGTTTCGCCTACACAGTAGGCTTCTTCAGTCGAGTACAGAAAAGTTGATAGAAGCAGAAGATACTTGAAGACGATGTAATCAGTCCATCACCCTTAAAGTTTTGAGGTGGTCAGTCCCTCAGTCTGGAGAAGAGCATTGTTCCGTTGTCTGAAACAATATGAAGTTGAAGTGACAGAATCGGGCCTTATATAGTGCCAGGAGGTGAGACGTAGGTTGATTTGGGAGGGCAGGTCCTTCTCAAACCCAGCCGTTCTCACTAGTAGAGGTTGTCGAAGTAGATGGTCTGTACCAAGATACCCTTGTGTTGCAGTGTCTGACAGAATGAACATTAAAATGGTATAAAATACCGACAGATTGTTAGGTAAGACACATATGCAACAGTTAGGTATCTTTATTTTGAAACGTTTCGCCTACACAGTAGGCTTCTTCAGTCGAGTACAGAAAAGTTGATAGAAGCAGAAGATACTTGAAGACGATGTAATCAGTCCATCACCCTTAAAGTTTTGAGGTGGTCAGTCCCTCAGTCTGGAGAAGAGCATTGTTCCGTTGTCTGAAACAATATGAAGTTGAAGTGACAGAATCGGGCCTTATATAGTGCCAGGAGGTGAGACGTAGGTTGATTTGGGAGGGCAGGTCCTTCTCAAACCCAGCCGTTCTCAAACCGTTCTCAAACCTGCCCTCCCAAATCAACCTACGTCTCACCTCCTGGCACTATATAAGGCCCGATTCTGTCACTTCAACTTCATATTGTTTCAGACAACGGAACAATGCTCTTCTCCAGACTGAGGGACTGACCACCTCAAAACTTTAAGGGTGATGGACTGATTACATCGTCTTCAAGTATCTTCTGCTTCTATCAACTTTTCTGTACTCGACTGAAGAAGCCTACTGTGTAGGCGAAACGTTTCAAAATAAAGATACCTAACTGTTGCATATGTGTCTTACCTAACAATCTGTCGGTATTTTATACCATTTTAATGTTCATTCTGTCAGACACTGCAACACAAGGGTATCTTGGTACAGACCATCTACTTCGACAACCTCTACTAGTGAGAACGGCTGGGTTTGAGAAGGACCTGCCCTCCCAAATCAACCTACGTCTCACCTCCTGGCACTATATAAGGCCCGATTCTGTCACTTCAACTTCATATTGTTTCAGACAACGGAACAATGCTCTTCTCCAGACTGAGGGACTGACCACCTCAAAACTTTAAGGGTGATGGACTGATTACATCGTCTTCAAGTATCTTCTGCTTCTATCAACTTTTCTGTACTCGACTGAAGAAGCCTACTGTGTAGGCGAAACGTTTCAAAATAAAGATACCTAACTGTTGCATATGTGTCTTACCTAACAATCTGTCGGTATTTTATACCATTTTAATGTTCAGTTCTAGAGTTCTCAGGTAGGATATTCCAGATTTTAGGGCCTTTGACATACATTGAATTTTTGTAAAGGTTTAGTCGGACACGGGGAATGTCGTAGAGATGTTTGTGTCTGGTGTTATGCCTGTGGGTTCTGTCACAACTATCAAGAAAGCGTTTTAGGTCAAGGTTGATATTAGAGTTTAAGGCCCTGTAATAATAGATTGCACAGTAGTAAGTGTGGATGTACTGAACTGGGAGTAAGTTTAAATCTTTGAAGAGTGGGGGGGTGTGCTGCCAGGGATGGGATTTAGTGATTATTCTTACTGCAGCTTTTTGTTGGGTTATTATTGGCTTTAGGTGTGTTGCTGCAGTTGATCCCCAAGCACAAATAGCATAGGTGAGGTATGGATAAATAAGTGAGTGGTATAGTGTGAGAAGGGCATTTTGCGGCACGTAGTATCGTATCTTGGATAGGATCCCAACCGTTTTGGATACTTTTTTGGCTATATGCTGGATATGGGTGCTGAAATTCAGGTTGTTGTCAAGGTATAAGCCTAGGAATTTTCCCCCATTATTTCTGGTAATTAGAGTGTTGTCAATCTTAATGTTAATTTGTGCATCTCCTGCTCTGCTACCAAACATAATATAGTAAGTTTTGTCAGTGTTAAGCATAAGTCTATTGGTTGTCATCCAAGTCGATATTTTAATCAGCTCCTCATTCACAATGGTGTTGAGGGTGGCAAGATTAGGGTGAGAGATGACATAAGTCGTGTCATCAGCAAAGAGAATGGGTTTCAGGTGTTGGGATACGTTTGGAAGGTCATTGATGTATATGAGGAAGAGCAGGGGACCAAGGACACTTCCCTGCGGAACTCCAGTATCAAGTGGCCGTGTTGCTGATGCTGTGTCTTTAATGGTGACGTACTGATACCTATTAGTAATGTAAGATTTGAAATAAGCAAGCGCATGGCCTCTTATACCGTAGTGGTCAAGTTTGTGGAGTAGGATTTGGTGGTTTACTGTGTCAAAAGCTTTTCTTAGGTCAATAAAAATTCCTAGTGGATATTCCTTATTTTCCAATGCTGTGTAAAGCAGATCTAGCATTTTTATGATTGCATCATTAGTGCTTTTATTTTTCCTGAATCCAAACTGGCAGGGTTGAGTATGTTTTGAGCCGTTATAAATGAATACAGTCTCTTGTACACGAGTTTCTCAAAGATTTTGGATAGCAATGGTAAGTTAGATATTGGCCTATAGTTGTTTAAGTCTGTAGGGTCACCACCTTTATGTATTGGTGTAACCCTTGCCATCTTGAGTAGTTTCGGGAAGGTGCTAGTCTCTATTGACTTGTTAAAAAGTAATGAAATAGCATGCGAAAGGACATGGGCCGCTCGCTTGTACAGTAATGGTGGGACATGAGACAGATTCCCCGAGTTATTTTTAAGTGACTTTATGATCCCAATGACTTCCGTGGGCTCAGTTGGTGCAAGATAGAAGGAATTAGGGAAATTACCATCTAGGTAGTCCCCGGCATGGGCATTGGTATGTGGGATTTTACTGGCGAGATTAGATCCTATGTTTGAGAAGAAGTCGTTTATCTTGTTAGCTGTGTCAGTGGGATATTAACCAAATCTGCCAAAACATCTGCTAATTAGTTTTATCATGTCACCTGGCTTTTAATTCTGTCATTCCATAAAATATAACCACCTGTGTGGAAAATACTGTATATATTTTCCGGAAATACGGTAATTTATAGGTAAATAGATGGCCTATACTGTATTTAATAATATTTGTCATAGAAAACGGAAAGCCTGCGTCTGGGCAGGAGACGCTCGCCATCTTGGTTTTGAATTGGATGCAATGTTAGTGTAATGGGAAGGAATTTTCATGCTCTAGAGGTTAAAATTAGGCTGACACCTCTCAAATAGGAGACAAAATTGTTGGATGTGCATTCCTGCATAACTTGAGATATCAAGCGACTGGACAAGACAGCTCCAGGAACCCCAGCTAAGTCATGTCTATATTATGTTTATAGTTCTGGCCAGTATTATTATCATAAATGTAGACAGAGTTTTTTTCTGAGTATGATACAACTTAATCTCCAGTCCAATTGGTGAGTGATATTAAGATATATTTTCCTTCTGTTATGTAATTGTGTATGTATATAACCATTTATTATTTTTAATATACAGTCCACAAAATTTATATATTTACCAGTATTCCTGGTGATGTACTTTTCATTTGTAATTAATAGGTCCAGAGCAACTTGTGGATATGACAGTGGTAGGTATCGAAGGGGGACATTTTTTGTGACCTAGGTGTCCCAAATTCCTACTTGTTTAACTGATAAATAATAGTTATCTTTGTTCATTTACTGTTATGTAAATAATGATACATTCAGTTAATGCAATTTTCCACAACCTGAACCACTACTTGTAAGGTAGATTTTGCGTGCAATTTCAAGCTTATTTTACCGAACCCTACTCACTTGTACTAAGTTTAAATAAGATTGCTGTGGAAAATTGCATTTACTTGGATGTATCATTATTTACATAACAGTAAATGAACAGATAATTATTATTTATCAGTTACACAAGTAGGAATTTGGGACACCTAGGTCGCAAAAAATGTCCCCCTTCGATACCTACCACTGTCATATCCACAAGTTGCTCTGGGCCTATTAATTATAAATAAAAGATACATCACCAGGAATGCTGGTAAATATATAAATTTGTGGACTGTATATTAAATTAAAAAATGATTATATATAAACACATTTACATAACAGAAGGAAAATATCTTAAGCATAACACTCACCAATTTGACTGGAGATTAATGTGGCATGTACAGGACCCCACCTTTTGCCTACATTTATGAAGAATTTACTGGCCAGAAAATAAACATAATTTAGACAGCTTATCTGAGGTTCCTGGAGTTGTCCTATCCTGTCGCCTGATTCTCAAATTATGCAGGA